CCCGTAATCTTCCAATCTGTGATTTTTCCTCACCTCCCTCAACCTTGTCATTTCGTTCTGTAGCATCTCATTCTCTTCCTTCATCCTCTGCTTTACTTGTAAGACCTTGTAGTCGTGCTCGGTGTTGTGATATTCAAGAAGACGCTTTAGGTAAAGATGATGGTTGTGAGTTGGCATCCTTGCCGTGTTGCTGTCGTTGTGGTAGTAGTGGTCATAACTACTATACACTTTTTTTCTTCTGTCTGGCATTTCGGGCGTTCCGCTCCTGTAGTTGGCACTTTTGTTTGAATGGACGGTTTGTCTTCTGTTGATGTCCTTGCGGACGTTTTCGTAGATGTCAGTTTTGTTGAGTTCCGTTTTCTGTTCCTTGATGTTCATTTTTATATATAATACTTTATAAAATTTTTGATGCTAAAGATTTCAATTTCTCTCTCGTCGCTTTGTTCTTTTCCTCTTTGGCTTTGTTGTAGGTGTCTCTGGCGGTCATTGCACTCTGTAGTTCTTCCTTCAGTTGCTTTACAAGGTCGTTTTTGAATGCTTCTGGGTCAAAAGGTGGTTTCGCCCTTGACGGTCTTACCCTTTTGGGCTTTGGCCCTGGTTGCGGTTTCTTTTCAACGGGTGGTTCAATTGTTTCTTCTGGTTTCTCCTCTTCTTTCGGTGCTTCCCGATAGGAAGCAGGGCTTTGCCGTGCTTCTTCCTGTATTGGTTCTGGTATTGTTTCTTCCTTGGGTTCTTCATTATCAATCTCTTTTACGACTACCTCTGTCATATATTAATATTATAGATAATTTTTTATACTTTCAAAATCTCGTGCCTCAAATACGGTTTGTTCAATCCTTCCAGTTTGAAGGTTCTGTTTCCGACATCATCGTATTCTATCTTGACAATTTTGTAGGATTGATTGCTCCATTTTGAGTTATACTCCTTCCTCTCGGTGTAGTTGTCTTTTTTCTTCTCAAAGACCTTGACCATATCATTCACTTTGACCTCTGGATATTTGCGAGTGTTCTTTTCCCTCCTTGTCAAATTCACCCTGACCTCCATATGGTTCTTGTCGTCGTGGGCATCCTTGGGTTTCATTTTGGTGGATGAATGGACGGTGTCGTTGTATTTATCTAACGCTTTGGACAACATTACAGTCCAACTACCGCGATTAAACCTCACCCTGTCGTGTATCATATTCTTCATTGTCCTTATGAAACGCTCCACAACATTGGCGTGAGTTAGGGTGACGACGTGAGTGATGCCTTCTTTCTCAAAGAACTCTTTTACCCCTGCTTGGAAGGCACGGTCATTATCACTATAAACGGACATTGGAAAACCCATTTTGTTGAAACTCTCTTTCATCGCCGACAATGTGATTGGTCCGGATTTTTCTTTCATAGGTACGACGTTTGCCAACTTGCTGAAGATGTCAATGACCACCAACCCATATCTCGGTTCATCGTTCTTGATGGGAATTTTCGTCTCTGGTTCTTTGGTAAGGGGTTTCATATCCATTATGTCAATCTGATATTCAAACCTTGCGAAGGGTGCGGTGTAGGAGTTTGACCCCCTGTATTTTCTAATCTGTTTGTTGGGCTGTTTCCTCATAAAGTTTTCCACATCCACCCTGTTGATGGTCTGGTCTTGCTCCTTGGCTTTCTTAAGGGTCTCATTGATTGAACCGAAGCCCGTTTCAAGATTATAATAGACATTGCTTATGATGTCATCTCTTGATAGTCTCCTTGCCATATATTATAATATTAGATTTTTAAAATTATCAACAATAAAAAATATACTTAAAGAAACAATACCTATATATAGTAAGACTAAATAAGATGACTAAATTTGACTGTGGATGTCGTATAATGACAGATGTTATAACCCTGAACGATAGAAACCAACCTAATTGGAACTACTTGCTCAAAACCTTCGTGAATGTGTGTGGCAAGTGCTACAAGAAGCAAATGAAATTCCAATATATGGAAAACAAACTTATGGAAATGGAAAAGCAAAGAATGGAAATGTTTTTGGAAAATGAGGATGAGGAGGAAGACACATACTTTGACCTGACAGAGTTGAAGGAACATCTCAAAACCCTCCCACCCAATGAAAGACATAAAGTGAAGGATTTTGAGAGGTTAAGAAACCTCGCCAATGGACAAGACCCCAACGAAGGAATGAGTGAAATAGATATGGTCATAAGAGAACCGGAAGAGGAGGAAAGGGAAAATAAAAACCAACCCGAGCCCGAAAACTGAACGAACCCCCCAAAAACTACTTAAAGAAAAATTACCTATATATAGTAAGAGGATGCTATTTACCTATAAAAACTGTGGATGTTGTAAAAAAGAAATGACTGACATTAAGGTTTTATTGAACAACATTTTTCCTGCTGGAATTTGTGATGAGATATGTGATTACAACCTTCACTGTTCAAAATGTAAAGAGTTGAATGATAAGGAACGCAGATATATAACATTCAACTATCATTTTGACCATTTTGAAGAGAAAGAACTAACAAGAGTTGAAAAACAAATACATTTCTTTAAAACAAGGATGGAAAAATCACCTATCTATTTATCCAACACCGACCGAACAAATGTAAGAGTAATGAAAAGAGAAATAGACGCTTTAATGGACACCTATAAACTGAAGGTAGAATTTCAAAAAGATAAGATATATCTTCAAGCGATTAAGTCTTATGTCAAAAACCATTGGAAATACACTTATCATATTCTAAAGAACTTTCACGACCTTAATTTCATCAATTACAGTAAGCAACGAAGATGCTGGTGGTTTCCTAATGTTGAACGAACTTTTATGTTTAGAAACAGGGAGTTCAAGATAAAAGACATTTTGGAAATTTTCTTGCGTGAATATGTTGAAGAACTGTTCAACGGTTATGAGAAATATTTGAACATAGAAGAAATAAAAGAGCACCTACAAAAAGTGATAAATACTTAAAGAAAAAAATATCTATATATAGTAAGAGAAAATGAGTAGAGCAAAAATTGAGGTTATAGATACAGGGAATATTGGTATATATGCTGACTTTGGTAGTGATAGTGAGGACGATGATTGGGAAAGAAAACAAATAGAAAAAGAAGATGAAGAGATTAGAGACTTTGTAAAGTGCCATCCTATGCCTTCACCAGATGATGAGGAAGGAGAAAAGTTTTGGAAGAAAGTAATTGATAGGATGAAATCAGGGGACGGGGTAAAGGATATGACGATATATATGTTTGTAAATTTTGACATTATGAAAAAGATGTATGAAAACCTAACTGATAAAAAAATCATCATTGATTGTGGAAAGGAACTCAACCGTGATGGTGAATTCAACGCAATGATTATTAACATAACTCTTTTATCAATAGCGATGGATGAACTGAATGATACAAACAAACCCTGCTTAACACAAATGAGAGTGATTGAACACTGGTGGGATGGAATAGGAAAGTGGAAAGCATAAATGATTAATTCATAATATCTTAACAACACATATTATGAAGTAATCACCCACCCAAACACAAACAAAAACCCCAACAGCCTAAACAAATCCTACCCCCATTCAATCCAAACATTGACACATCACTTTAGCAACAAAATTACCCCCAAAACCCCACCTGAAAAAACATCAAAGGCGAAGATGAAACATTGAACCCCAACACAAAATCATAACAAGCAACATACAAACATATACGCCCTGAAACCCCCATTTTTCCATTTTTTCCCACCAATATTCTGGCCGCTGAGTCTGAGGCTGCACTGCCTTCTCATGTGCATGTCGCCTCCTCAATCTGTTTTTTTGAGCGACGGTTGGCAATGCAGACATTAGTTGCACATGTGAAATACACGTGAGATGTGATCTCACACTCCAAGGTTTGCTCTCTTCATTCAGATGATGCGGTCGATGAGATTTGGAACGCCTAGTGAAAAAAAGCCTCATGACTAATGTGGTAAACCGCAATGATCAGCCATCCCAATAATCAATAAGCAGACATTTGGGGTCGTTTTAAATCATCCCAATTAGGGTATAGCCAGTAATGAGGATGGTTTATTCTTAGTTTACCTCATCATGTAGTGCGCGCACGCACACACACACACACACTGAGTGCTGTAGATGTGGTCCAAGTTTGATGAGCAAAATACTACACTCTGGTGAACTAACGTAGCGGAAAATTCCTTCATTTTACGATATGTTTTGGCACGTTAGGTAAGTGTAAAATGGCCATATCCAAATCATAGCCACGTTAGTTGCGTCCTCCTATGTTAGTTATAGCTATGTTAGTTTTGGCTAATTTAAACAATAGCCTAGCAATAGCCACGTTAGTTGTTTCTTTTTTTAATGTTGGAACCCGGGCAGAGTCAAGCACATGTTCAGGGGTTGATCGCTCGGTGATTGCAGCAGCTATTGGCTCCACAATCACCAATAGCTGTTCTCACATCCATTGCAATGGCCTCTTTGGATACTGATTCACCCCAGGAGCGGGGGATGTAGGGTCAACTCATGAAGGGTTGATACATGGGTAGTTTTCTGCAATTTGAACTGGCACTATGGGAATTTGTCGTATCTATATTTTTTCATTTCTTGAAATATTTGCTTTGAATGGTAAACAGTGGTTTAGTATGTATATATATATATCAATTGAGATTTTTCAGATTTGACTTCTCAAAGAAATGTTTCAAAGTACAATTTTATTAACAGCGTGGCAAATTGCATTTGGCACTGGAGCACAACATGTGCAAAGCAACATGTCCGCCATATGCAATGCAGCCGCACTTTCCATTGTTTAGCTATTTTGGCTCTTTTTCGACGCTGTGAGTGAATTGGTGTCGGACATTGTTTTTGTTCAATGTGTAACTCCAAACAAGGAAAATTGTCTTGAAATGTCGTGAAGTGTTTTGAACCACTTGAAATTACATCAAATTCTTGCACGTTTTCTTTTAATTAAATCTGACGCGCGCGGCTCGTTCACTCTTCCTGAGATTCCTAGATACCCTGTCATGCTGCAATGAGAGTAAAGCAATGGAAACGAGGCAGGATGTCTGTCAATGTCTTTGTATTGCTGTTCATTTGTTGATACCTTCGACAAGCTTGTTTGAAGCTGCTGACAAGAAAACAACCTTGACAGGCTGGGTGATCTTGGCTATAGCATGGCTTGTCTCCAGGTTTGTTGCCTCGCCCTTAGTTAGGTTTCAACGTACTGGATCGAGAGCGTGTTGCAAAGAACTTGGTGCTTGCATTCCTCCAAGGTGTGCCCATGCAGAACTTTCTCCCCGCAGAAAACTTCGCAGCAACATGGTGTGGGACCTTTGCGTGCAGCGCCAAACAAGGACCACATAAAAGGAATAACAAAAAAAAGACATGTCGCGCCAAACTCTTTAAAGACATGTTGCATGTTGTGCACGCTCACAGGCAAACTGAAACTTGCGCATTTTTATCGCATCTGTATGCTGTTCCATTTGGTTGCAGGAAGACCCACAAGGAATCAAGCGAGTCGAGGAGATGGGAGCTAGTTGGCGTCTCCAAAACTCTACGTGCTGACTTGAACTGCTCCTTCCAAAATGCTGCCCAAACACATAAGCGCAGTAATTTTGAGTAAGTAGTATTTCTGTTCCAAGCTGTGCTTGGTGACCTCCCTGTTTAAGAATGAACTTCTGTCATGGAGTTTGAAGAATTGGCAACTCATAGAGTCAGAACGCTTTGAAGTGTTTCTCCAACCCGCAGGAAGCGCCGACGGATGAGGCACACGGCCGCCGTTGAATTCCCTTCTTTTACAGGACAACTTTACTCTGTTCAATTGTTGAAAGCGTGGGTTTCAAGTTTTCTATTCCACCCTTAACCTCTTGTTTCAAACAGCTTTGCTTTTGCTTCGCTTCAAAGATTCCCTGCAACATGTCACATGTGACATGTTTGCTCCAGACGGGTCATCTAACGCCCAGTTTTAACAGAAAGCGAAAGAAACAGAAGAAGGACAGACCTATTAGCTTTCAGAAAGACAGAAGTCATCAGAGATAAGTTCTCCTGTTGCGACAGGCTGTTCAGACTGGAGATGAAGAGAAAAACATTAAGTCCATTTGAAGAGACGTTTTTGAAGAGACGTCTTCATCCCCGTATGTCCTCATTCCCCTGTATGTCTTCATTTTTGTCCTCATTTCGCCAAAAGAACTCGTCTCCGCAGCACTCGGCACGACAGGCTGATGCCTTGACCTTGGCACGACGTCAGCTGAAACTTGCCGTGGACCAGCAAGAAATGGCAGTGGAAGACTTGCAAACTGCCAGGCAAACAGGAGATGAGCGGAAAATCAGGGAGGCGAAGGAGGACGTGAAAGAGGCGAAGGAGGACGTGAAAGAGGCGGAGGAGAAGGTGCAGAAGGCGGAGGAAAAGGTGCAGAAGGCGAAGGAGGAAGTCCAGGAGAAGGCAGCTGCGCAGCTTCAGTGTCACACTTCTTCACAGTTCTTCAGTGCAAAAATAGATGAAAGAAGTGCGTTCACATTTCTTCGCATTCGAATGGCATTCTCAATTGTTTCCGATTTGAGCATAGAGCTGACTGTTTCCTGCAGGTGGACAGGGATGCAACAGCCTTTGCCAATGAATTGGCATCGATCGGGCAGCCAGAAGGTTTGGACGCTGGCGTGCAACTCTTCAAGCTCAACCGGTCCTTGACAGCAGACTATCGTATGAGTGGCACAGCGATGCTTTCAAGGAAGACGATTCGAGTGGCTTGGGATGCAGCCTTCGAGGAGATGGAGCAGGGTCATGCCTTGAGGGTTGCAATGGTGGGCATGCCAGGCATTGGCAAGTCCCGCTCCCTTACCTATGGCCTGTGGCGGCTGATGACAAGAGAGGTGCCTCCTGTAGTCGTCTTCGAAGCACGGCGTGGACAGAAGGTGTTCATCTTCACTTGGCAAAATAACCAGTGGGTCGTCCGCAGCGTTGCCATCAACAACTGGATACCCGCGAATTGCAAGTACTTGCAGGATGAGAGGAATTTCTACCTCATCGATGCATTTGTGCCTGAGCAGTGGGATGCAATTTTGCCTGCCAAGACCATCAAGGCATGCAGTCCGGACCGGAAGCATCACTCGGGCTTTGTCAAAGATGGTGGCATTTACGTTTATGTGGAGGCTTGGTCAGAAGCAGAGGTGGAAGCAGCTCATCCCTACATTGATGGCGCCCCAAAGCTTTCTGAAATGCTGAGGAGGTTCGAGCAAGTGGGTGGCAACCTTCGTGTGTTACTGTCCAATGTCATGGAATACGACAAGTATGTGCTACTGCAAAGGGAAGACGCAAAGAATTTGCGCGCCGTGGAACGAGCAGTGCGGGGAGATTTGGACACTCAAGGAGGGCAGATGCTGACCAGGCTTTTTACCTATTTCAGCAAAAATGGCAGGTCTTCCTGTGTTGGTTTTTGCTCCAAAGGTGCTGCAAAGATGGTGCTTGACGCTCACTATGATGACTTGATGAAGATCTGGAGCAATCCCAATGACCCGGAGGGAGATTTCTTGTTTGAACAGTTTGTGGGCACTATTTTTACAACCAGCCTTCTGGAGGGCCAACGTCTTGACCGCTACAGCATCACGAGAAAGGCCGGTAAGTGGGACCATACGAAGTGTCAGCCGTTGATGCCTTGTGGATGCCAGCTTCTGGAATGTGACAGCGAGGTGGTTTTTGACCAAAGGTGGCGTGCAGCGGTAGAGAAAGGTGGGCTGGAGGAAGTGTTGCACACTCCGAAGCAATACCCCGGGATTGACTACCTCTTAGATTTCAACCATGGAATACAGGTGACACAGTCGGTGACACAGTCAGACAAGCACAGCATTGCGCCAAAGTTACTTGAAAAGCTACACACTGCCTTTGATGGTCACAAAGGCTACAATTTCACCTTGACCTTCATGGTAGTTAGGGAGCCTACGAGTTTCAAACCCAAAGATCTCAAAGAGTTCAATGGCTTGATGAAGCTGGCACAGGGGAAAGAACGAGTGTTCAGCAAAGTCTGGGTAGACGTCATACAGATGCCGAAGACCAGAGACTCTTTGCCAAAGAAAAAATGCTGCAAGGGAAGTGCAAGCAGGCGACAGTTTTCAGGCAACCAACTTGATATCATGGCTATCCTTATATTCCCATGGAATTTCCAACATTTCAAGACGACACACGGTCATTTTGGTTTCAAGACGACACATGCGTCCCTTTCTTCGCGCCTTTTAGATGGGTGGCACAGTCGCAGCACGGTCCTTCTTCAAACATCTTCAAGTCCAAGAAATAAATCTTCTTCTATTCTGTTCTATTCTATTTACTCTCTTCTTCTTCTCTACTTATCTTCTCCTCTTTCATCAGACATTGGACAACTGTTGGCGCCAGGAGAACCGCTGGTCGTGCTTGGAGCTGAGCACAGGCCTGGACGAGAATCCGTGTGTAGAGCCAACATGAAAAGCTGCAGATATCAAGGGATAAAATAGTGAAATGTATATATCAGGCTATGCTTTCAGCTGAAAAACGCAGAGATGTTTTCTGGTAAAAGCTCGGCCAAGTCCAGACGCAAAGTGTTTCTTTCATTACCGAAATATTCACGATGAATTCATCTCCAACCAGCTATGTTAGCTATAGCTAATTTAGCCAATAGTCATGTTGGCTGTTGTTTTTTATGTTGAAAACCTTGAGTGGTGTAAAATAATAGCCACGTTAGTGGGCTTACTTCCATGTTGGAAAATTTGAATGGTGTAAAATGATAGCCACGTTAGTTGTTTTTGTAATGTTGAAAACCTTGAATGGTGTAAAATGATAGCCACGTTAGTGGGTTTCCTTCCATTGACGTGTAAAATGATAGCCACGTTAGTTGGTTTTCCTTGGCCAGGGTCCCTGGGGAACATGCTGGTCTGGGAGGCCCAAGTGGTAGCCACGTTAGCACTGTAAAATTCGAAAACGCACAGCTTCGTTAAATTACCGGAGAGTAATACAATTTACACTGCATTTCTTAGCACTGTTGCATGGCATTGCATGTTTGCCTCAACTAGCTGTGGCTTTAGATGGCTGACCAACTCTTGGCCAGAGTTTTAGCAGTTTGAATATGTTTGAATCATTTGCCATGGACAGATGGCCCAATTCAGTCGGGCGCTCGAGAGCATCGATTGGCGAAGTTGTTGACCGGAGAGAGCTTCGCAGAGTTCGACCTCTTCGCAGTTCTGCGCCGAGGAACTGTGTGAACCACGACCGGTCGTCACTTGCAGCTGCATGTGTTGCTGCGAGCTCTCTCAGACTTGTGGCACCGCCACGGAGAAGCACACGCCGTGACAAGCGCCACCAAAGCATTGGCATCATTGGCAAGGAAGCCGTTCGAGCCAAACCGTGTGCTGAAACCATGCAGTCGTCAGATGCTGCAAGTTTTTTTTCAATGGATATACTGCACAGACCGTTGGAGCCCGGGCCCAAAGAACCTAACGTTTCGCTTTCAGACTGGATTCTTCAAGCGTTTGACATGGCTAATCAGGAGTTCTTCAGTGGAGAGTTGGAACCGGTCCAGATTGAACTTGACAGCACATGGCATTTACGAGGTGGTGCGGGTGGCGCTCATCCAGATAAACGCAAAATTGTTTTGGACCCGTCAGTGCACATGTGCTACAGAGACCTGTGCGCTACTTTATTGCACGAGATGTTACATCTACAGATCGGAGATGCGGATGATGAAGAGCACGGGCCTTTGTATTTGCAAGCTTGTTTGAACCTAAATGAAAGAATCATGGCATCCCGTACTGCATGTTTCTGCCGATTGGGTGAGTTTGACACCCCCTTGGATCATGCCTTGCTGGCAAAGGTAGGAGCACCTGACGAAATGTTCGATGCCTTGCAACAGGATTTTCAAAAAAATGTGCCATGTACGGCATGGGACTCTGGACTTCTCGTAGGTGACTTTTGCGAAGTATGCCATGGAGTTGGCATGGACCAAGGAACATGCCAGAGGTTGGCCGCAAGAATACAATGCATGGCCATCATCACCTCTTGTAAGGTAGCTCTCAAGAAAGGCTATGTGACATGGTCATTAAAAAGCCGTACAATGGCACAGTACTGTGCACGCAAAGTTGGTCGAGACTATCAAAGCTTCTCGGACTACTCTGCGTTGTGGTCCTTGTAATGTCCTTGTGATGTCCGTGTGATGTCCTTATTGTCATGTGCTTGTGCTGCTTGTGACTTTCACAGAGCTCGAGTGTCTCAGAATGAAGATTTCATGATGCTGTATACACTGTACACATATGTACACATTATGAAATGGCTACAAGCAGCTTTTTTGTTCGGCACCTAGCAGTTGAGAAACCGCTTGCGGCCGCAATGCATGAGCTGCAGAAATATCGTGCCACTGGGCTTCTAAACCCCGCGAGTCATCCGCTTCCCTGAAATTTTCCTTGTGACATCTTGTGACAACAGCGAATGAACAGGCACCACGGCACCACCTACCGCACAAGCTACGAAACCCCAATGGAGTGCAGTGGACAGCGCGGAGACAAAGATTGATCGCTGGAAGAAACTCTTTGGAAGAATTGCTGTCACATTTCACCTCCAAGTGCGACAAAATTCAGACTCTTCAGACTCTGTTATGCATTTGGTCTGCATGATGACATGAATTGACATGACATGGCTGACATGGTACTATGTGATACTACGTCATTATGTGCATGTCAGGTAGCAAGGATAGCGAGTGTTCTGAACTCCTCCGTGCATCTCCTCTCCTCACTTGTTTGGATTTTGGAAGTTTGCTGAAGTTTGTAATGGGTGCAGTCGGTGCAGTTGACATCAGTTGACAGGTGTAACACGCCGTAGCAAAGCGCCCTAGCTCCGCCTCCGCAGCCTTTACATTTGTACGGTCAAGGAGAAAGTCCGGGAATTTCAAAACCATGTCGCAGGCAGGGAACAAAATGGAACAAACAGAAAAAAATCAAATATCTTCAAATCAAACAAACTTCAATTTCAGATCATCTTACTCTAAAATTAGGTTTTTAAGCTCAGCCCTACCCTTGCAGCATCCTTTCAGTCTACCTGCTAAAGTGCTTGCAATGTGCAAACATGAAGCGGATTTCACCTGCTGCAAGGTTCAAGTGCCACCTGGATTCGAGGATGGGATTGCTTTGAAAATGCTGTTCAATGCTTTGTTCAATGCTCGTGGAGTGAAGCTCTAACTTTGCTTCCCAAACTTGGAGGCAAGCTGCCGCAAAGCTGTTTGTTCGGAAGCAGGCCATGAAAGCATGCTTTCTTTTTGTACTCGTGAGACAAGTCTCAGACCTGACCATCCAGACGGTATGGCCACAGAAAACCTCAATGATTTTGTGCAACCGGAGGTGCTACCAGCCTTGATCCAGCTGAGGCAAGTCATTGCCTGGATCAAAGGTGATAGGTCCAGTATTCGAGCTGTGGAACAATGGGGTACTTGGAGTATTCCCAAGAGGTAATTTGCGATGGTTTTGTGGGCTAGATGTGTGCGTCAACATGGGCATTTGCGAAGGAGGATGTTTGAAACTTGTTCGTTGCGAAGGAGGGCTAACTCAGTATATAAATTCCAGGCAAATCTGCTTGAAGTACATATAAATTCCAGTGAACGGATTGCTTTGGAGGAACTGAAGGCGGAGTTAATAAAGCAGGCTGGCTGTCTTAGCCGTATGTCTTGGGATTTTGGACTTGTTGGCTTGGCAAAGTGTTGGGTCAAGGGATGCCCATGGTTGCCACATGTCTACCCCCCTTTTGTCTGGTCCTGGGTTAGGGGGAGAGAGAGGGAGCTCTTGTGGTTCTGCAGAGAGAAGTTAGCATGTTCTTTAGGTGAGAGATCATTCAAGATTCAATATCCCATATATCCCAGAAAGCTTCTGTGCTGGTTACCATCAATTCACTACTTCGTAAGATTCTCTGCCAAGTTTGCGCATATTTTTCAGATTGTAGATGATTGTAATATATTGTAATTGTAATAAAATGTAATAAATGTCATTGCGTCTGAAGTTTTCATCGGTGGACTTTCGATTGCGTCTCTTGCCAGGTCACAGAAGCATGCAAAGAGCATGTGAATCAAAAGACCCAAGAAGCGGCTGGGCCCACAGTCGGCCACAGATTGGACAGATCCATGTTGAAGCTTTCACGCTGTGACTTTGTTAATTTCTCTTCATCATTCTTCATCTCTATTCACCTGTGTTCGTCTGTCTTCTGCCTAGGGACTTCCATGACATTGTGTGCTGAGGTAGAGACTCTCTGGAAGCGTGGGCAGAAAACAATCCAGCATCACGGCTGAAAGAACCGATTGCACATTGGACAGATTGGACCACTCCTCTTTTTGTCCTTCGAACTCTTCACAGCACGCCGTTTGCCAAGGTCTATGCAGCAGCAGCACGCCGCAACAACCGAACAACTCCGGAGTCAAAGGGCTCAGTCGAGTGGCAGCATGTCACAGCTCCAATCTTCAAGCATCTGCGAACCAATTGCTATCTTGCTCTTGTTCAAAACGGGATAATGACAGATACGCAACATTAACATACATTAACTACCTTTTCTTTATTAATACACGGCGATGCATTTTCTGATAAACAGAAGCCATACTGGACCGATCTAAGTTGCTGAGGCCAGCTGGCTGCTTGCACCGAGTCATTGCTCTCAGCCACAGTGATGTTTTGATACCCACAGAAAGCAGCTGAAAACAGAACATATGTTGAAAACATCAGAAAACATCAGAAAAGCCAAGACAATCTCAGGTCACACCGAAGTCTTGAGCGTGAAACTGTGGTCTTGCGCGCAAACTTGGAGGCAGAAAGCAACATGGCAAGAACTTATCGACATTTGAAGATTCTTTCTGCATCTTTTTCGGTCGTATCAGACCCTGCAGGCAATGATGAAGCATTTGACCATTCTGTTTGGGGTTCCTCCGTGGTGGGCTTGGTCACTTGCTGGACGATGGCAGATTGGTAGACAGCTTTTCATATATCAAATCTAAATGTATCTAATATGATCTAATATTATCAAGTTCTGCAGAGGCTTCGTTTCTTTTTTCGGGCTTGGTTGACATTGACAGCATTTCAGGCATTGCGACCCTACACTTTCAACCAGCCTGTGGAACTTCGAGAACAAGGCTTGGTTTCTTAATTCTACAGATGCAGAGTAGATGCAGTAGCATCGTGTCATTGTGGCTTCAGAATATTCCGAAGGATGCAGAAACAACCTTCAGTGAGGAAGAACACCATGTCTAGAGCTTGGGCAGAAGGCGATTGAGCGTTTCAAACTTTGGAATACTACTGCTGCATCTGCTGCACTGCACCTTTCAGGATATGGAAGATCCAACTTATCCATTGTCGTGTTTTGGTAGTGACAATGGCAGTCAGGCAAGATCCTTTGAGTCCTCGTGTGTCAGTGATCGCTCGTTTGTTGGCTGGCTACCTTACCTGAGATTGGTGTTGGCTGGCAAATTCATGCAAATTCTTGGTTCCGATGTTAGACCTGTCCGCCCTCTGACAGGGCCCCGTTGCTGGCTCTGGGGGAACTGGCAAATGCCTAAGATTTTGGAGCTCCAAGCGGTGCTCAAAGCTGACATTCGGACAGAAATGCTTAACTTGTGAGGATCTGAAACTGAACCTTCGCATGGAGCTCAGCATAGCAGCCAAAACTCAATGTGTCGAGCATCTCATGAGATTGATGTGTGATACATTTCTCATACCTGATATGTGTGACACTGACACAGTCTGGCCTTGTGGAATCTTGTGAAGCTAGGCCTACAGCTGAAGCAGCCGCTGGGTTCTCCAATCCGCCGGCGCTCATGCTCAGCTTCAGCTTGGAAACACTTTGACCGTGAAAAAGGAAAGACATCAAAATCATCCAAAATCATCAAATACTCACAATATCGAAGTGATTTCCAGGCAACATTTTCGCTGATGCTTCGCTTGGCCGACAACGTTCCGGTCGGTTTACAAGTTAAAGGCCGGGCACTGTACCTCAATCAGAGCATTTTGAAAATGCTGATGCATTTTGATTATTCACAGACAAACATACGTAATTTAAGGGCTAACGCCCCTCGTCGGCTCCGCCGGATTTCTCGGCCCTCCATTTCATCGCAGTGTGGGGGCTGGAAAGCTTTTGGATGGGGACCTGCTTCAGAAATATATTCCTTACGTTTTTTGAAAAAAAAAAAGAACAGGAACTTTGTTGGAAATAGACGGCTTTTTTGGGGAGCAAGTGAGTGCCCGAAAGCTCCTGCCAAGGGTTTTTCCCGAAGAACTGCTGCCAATTTCAACTTGTGACTTCATGTCAAGACGCCTCTGTGCAAAGACTTCTCTGTGTAAAAGCTTTTGTGTGTAAAAGTTTCTGTGTGTAAAAACCACTTTGTGTAAAGACTTCTTTGTGTAAAAGCTTCTATGTGTGAAAGCTTCTCTGTGTGAAATGTCTGTGTAAAGATTTCACTGTGTGTAAAAGCTTCGGTGTGTAAAAACTCTCTGTGTAAAGTGTAAAGGCTTCTCTGTGTAAAAGCCTCTGTGTGTAAACGCGTCTGTGTGTGAAAGCTATATATCTGTGTAAAGACTTCTTTGTGTAACAGCTTCTGTGTGTAAAGGCTCCTAGACGTTTGTGTGCAAAAGCTCCTTAGGAGTAAAGACTTCTCTGTGTAAAACCTTCTGTGTGTAAAAAGCTCCTTTGTGTAAAGACTTCTCTGTGTAAAAGCCCCTGTGTGTGTAAATGCTTTTGTGTGTAAAAGCTCCTCTGTGTAAAGGCTTCTCTGTGTAAAAAAAGCTTCTGTGTGCAAACACGTCTGTGTGTAAAAACCCTCTCTGTCAGGCCTTCTTCGTGTAAAAAGTTTTGTGTGAAAAAGCTCCTAGACGTTTGTGTGCAAAAGCTCCTTAGGGTAAAGACTTCTCTGTGTAAAACCTTCTGTGTGTAAAAAGCTCCTTTGTGTAAGGACTTCTTTGTGTAAAAGCCCCTGTGTGTGTAAAAGCTTGCTGTGTGTAAACGCTTTTGTGTGTAAAAGCTCCTCTGGCTGAAGGCTTCTCTGTGTAAAAGCTTTTGCGTGTAAAAGTTGCTGTGTGTAAAAACCACTTTGTGTAAAGACTTCTTTGTGTAAAAGCTTCTGTGTGTGAAAGCTTCTCTGTGTGAAAGCGCGTCTGTGTAAAGATTTCACTGTGTAAAATTCTCTGTGTAAACGCTTCTCTGTGTAAAAGATTCTGTGTGTAAACGCGTCTGTGAATGAAAGCTATATATCTGTGTAAAGACTTCTTCGTGGAACAGCTTCTGTGTGCAAAGGCTCCTAGACGTTTGTGTGCAAAAGCTCCTTAGAGTAAAGACTTCTCTGTGTAAAACCTTGCGGCCAGGTTTTGGCAAAAACGGCCGTTTCCCAATGATCCCAGAAGAGAAATTCAATAGCCGGCCGAGGGACCGCCAAATGGCAGAAATTTGCTTCCAAAAGGCTCCCGGCCAGGATTTGGCCAAAAACGGCCGTTTCCCAATGATCCCAGAAGAGAAATTCAATAGCCGGCCGAGGGACCGCCAAATGGCAGAAATTTGCTTCCAAAAGGCTCCCGGCCAGGATTTGGCAAAAACGGCCGTTTCCCAATGATCCCAGAAGAGAAATTCAATAGCCGGCCGAGGGACCGCCAAATGGCAGAAATATGCTTCCAAAAGGCTCCCGGCCAGGATTTGGGCAAAAACGGCCGTTTCCCAATGATCCCAGAAGAGAAATTCAATAGCCGGCCGAGGGGCCGCCAAATGGCAGAAATTTGCTTCCAAAAGGCTCCCGGCCAGGATTTGGCCAAAAACGGCCGTTTCCCAATGATCCCAGAAGAGAAATTCAATAGCCGGCCGAGGGGCCGCCAAATGGCAGAAATTTGCTTCCAAAAGGCTCCCGGCCAGGATTTGGGCAAAAACGGCCGTTTCCCAATGATCCCAGAAGAGAAATTCAATAGCCGGCCGAGGGACCGCCAAATGGCAGAAATTTGCTTCCAAAAGGCTCCCGGCCAGGATTTGGCCAAAAACGGCCGTTTCCCAATGATCCCAGAAGAGAAATTCAATAGCCGGCCGAGGGGCCGCCAAATGGCAGAAATTTGCTTCCAAAAGGCTCCCGGCCAGGATTTGGCCAAAACCGGCCGTTTCCCAATGATCCCAGAAGAGAAATTCAATAGCCGGCCGATGGACCGCCAAATGGCAGAAATTTGGTTCCAAAAGGCTCCCGGCCAGGATTTGGGCAAAAACGGCCGTTTCCCAATGATCCCAGAAGAGAAATTCAATAGCCGGCCGAGGGGCCGCCAAATGGCAGAAATTTGCTTCCAAAAGGCTCCCGTGTGTAAAAAGCTCCTTTGTGTATAGACTTCTCTGTGTGAAAGCCCCTGTGTGTGTAAAAGCCTGCTGTGTGTAAATGCTTTTGTGTGTAAAAGCTCCTCTGTGTAAAGGCTTCTCTGTGTAAAAGCTTCTGTGTGCAAATGCGTCTGTGTGTAAAAACCCCTCTGTGTAAAGACGTCTTCGAGTAAAAAGTTCTGTGTGAAAAAGCTCCTAGACGTTTGTGTGCAAAAGCTCCTTGGAGTAAAGACTTCTCTGTGTAAAACCTTCTGTGTGTAAAAAGCTCTTTTGTGTAAGGACTTCTCTGTGTAAAAGCCCCTGTGTGTGTAAAAGCTTGCTGTGTGTAAACGCTTTTGTGTGTAAAAGCTCCTCTGTGTGAAGGCTTCTCTGTGTAAAAGCTTCTGTGTGCAAACGCGTCTGTGTGTAAAAAGCCCCTTAGAGTAAAGACTTCTCTGTGTAAAAGCTTCCGTGTGTAAAAAGCTCCTTTGTGTAAAGACTTCTCTGTGTAAAAGCCCCTGTGTGTAAAAGCTTGCTGTGTGCAAATGCTTTTGTGTAAAAGCTCCTCTGTGTAAAGGCTTCTCTGTGTAAAAGCTTCTGTGTGCAAATGCGTCTGTGTGTAAAAACCCTCTGTGTAAAGACTTCTTCGCGTAAAAACTTCTGTGTGAAAAAGCACCTAGATATTTGTGTGCAAGAGCTCCCTAGAGTAAAGACTTCTCTGTGTAAAACCTTCTGTGTGTAAAAAGATCCTTTGTGTAAAGACTTCTCTGTGTAAAAGCCCCTGTGTGTGTAAAAGCCTGCTGTGTGTAAACGCTTTTGTGTGTAAAAGCTCCTCTGTGTGAAGGCTTCTCTGTGTAAAATAAGCTTCTGTGTGCAAACGCGTCTGTGTGTAAAAAGCTCCTTTGTGTATAGACTTCTCTGTGTAAAAGCCCCTGTGTGTGAAAAAGCCTGCTGTGTGTAAATGCTTTTGTGTGTAAAAGCTCCTCTGTGTAAAGCTTCTCTGTGTAAAGCTCTGTGTGCAAATGTGCGTCTGTGTGTAAAAAAAACCCCCTCCTGTGTAAGACGTCTTCTAGTAAAAAAAGTTTCTGTGTGAAAAAGCACCTAGATATTTGTGTGCAAAAGCTCCCTAGAGTAAAGACTTCTCTGTGTAAAACCTTCTGTGTGTAAAAAGCTCCTTTGTGTATAGACTTCTCTGTGTAAAAGCCCCTGTGTGTGTAAAAGCCTGCTGTGTTAACCGCTTTTGTGTGTAAACTCCTCTGTTTGAGGCTTCTCTGTGTAAAAGCTTCTGTGTGGCAAACGCGTCTGTTGGTGTACAAAGCCCCTAGAGTAAGACTTCTCTGTTGTAAAGCTTCCCAAGCTTCCGTGTGTAAAAAGCTCCTTTGTGTAAAGACTTCTGTTCTCTGTGTAAACGCCCCCGTGTGGTTGTAAAACTTGCGTGTGCAAATGCTTTTGTGTAAAGCTCCTCTGTGTTAATGCTTTTCTCTGTGTAAAGCTTCTGGTGTGTCAATTGCGTCGGTGTAAAAACCCCTCTGTGTAAAGAACTTCTTCGCGTAAAAAACTCTGTGTGAAAAAGCCCTAGATATTTGTTCAAAGCTCCTAGAGGTAAAGACTTTCTCTGTGTAAAACCGTTCGTGTTGTTAAAGAAGCCTCCTTTGTGTAAAGACTTCTCTGTGTAAAAAGCCCCTGTGTGTGTAAAAGCCTGCTGTGTGGTAAATGCTTTTGTGTGTAAAAGCTCCTCTGTGTGAAGGCTTCTCTGTGTAAAATAAGCTTCTGTGTGCAAACGCGTCTGTGTGTAAAAACCCCTCTGTGTAAAGACTTCTTCGTGTAAAAGCTTCTGTGTGTAAAGGCTCCTAGATGTTTGTGTGCAAAAGCTCCTTAGAGTAAAGACTTCGCTGTGTAAAACCTTCTGTGCGTAAAAAGCTCCTTTGTGTAAAGACTTCTCTGTGTAAAAGCCCCTGTGTGTGTAAAAGCTTCTGTGCGACTCCTCCCTCCAGCTTTCTTTCGGGTCACGCTGTCGTCCAGTTTCAATCTGCAACATTGTTTCCAGTTTCAATCTGCAACATTGTTTCTTGTGGAAGAAGGCAAAGAACAGGTGAAAGCATCGCAGTTTAAAAAATTGAACATAAACAGCGCACAAAATGTTGTAATTTACAGCATTTTGCGCTGTCAGATGGCAAGAACCCGCGTAAATACCACAGTTTTAGTCCCCGAAAGTGGCTAAAACACTGTTACTTACAGGGTTTCGTTCACGTCACGATCTTCGATTTTTTGGGAAACGCGTAAATACCAGCGTTTTTTCCGTTCATCAAGGCAAAAAATCGGTTCAGAAAGGGAAGAAAATGCTGTAATTTACAGGGGTTTGGCGCCGCCACGGGCAAAAAACTGCGTAAATACTAGCGTTTCGGCGTCCAGAAGTGGCCAAAACACCGCTATTTACAGTGTTTCGTGCCTTCCACGTTTTCTTGAAATTGCAAAAACACTGTGAATACCAGCAGTTTTTGCGATCAACACGCCAAAAATGCTGTAATTTACAGTGTTTTTTTGCTTGGCTTTCAAAAACGCTGGTATTTGCGGTGTTTTGTGCATCTTGGGTCCAAAAAGTATTGGTATTTACAGCATTTTCTGCGTTTTTGCATGGCTCCCGCAAAAGATGTTAAAACGCA